ATTAATGGTTATCAAATTTGATTTAGTGATCTTTGTTTATACTGTACGGAGTAATAAAGTAAATATTATATTCGATGATATTTTAACATCTTTTAATATATTAAAGTTTATGTATTTTATTAGATTTGTTTACATCATCAAAATAAAGCAAAATATTCATGAACCCTATAAATGACAGATTTTACATATATATTCATCCAATTTATAAAAGGCATTAGAAACTTTTACATGTTACGTTTGTATAAACTCATGAAAATGAGGGTAATGTCCAATGAATTTATAAAAGGCATTAGAAACTTTTTTTTTCTTTTTTCTTTTTAGAGTATCTAAGGTTGTTTATTTATATAAACACAAATATCTCACTTTATTATCTTAATTTATGTAATGTATTAAATAAGTAAAACATTCATGTAAAGTTCTTTCAATAATATGGCAAAAAAGATACGCACCCAAAAAAAAAATATATGGCAAAAGAGAAATTTACCTGCAATCATAATATGACTTTATCTCATCAACATTATGATTAGTTTCATCACCGTCCTTTGTTTGACGTAATGATGCAGTTACTCTATCATGGCCCTTATTGATACATTTGAATAGGTATTTTATTGATCTAGATTGATTGCACCACTCAACGTTGATGTGAGCTCCATATTTTATGAGTAGATTAGGATTATATGGAACAACATATCTATTGTCCAAAAGAACTCCATTCTTTTCTACTGTCCTACCATTATCCCTCCTTCTGTAGATAGGATATCCATCTTCGTCAACTGTGGTTCTTTCATTGAATTTCTTAGGAAAATGTTTTGAACACTTTCCATCTTTCATACGCGGTGAGTCCACATTAAATAAACCACACGGGCCATGAAACATGGAGTCTCTAACCAAGCTATAAAATGATCTTGTCAATATCATCCCCGGTTGGAAGCTTGTCTTCTTGTTTCAAAAACAATAAAATATGAGCATGAGGTAGACCACGCTTTTGAAATTCAATTGTGTAGATCACTGCACGGATAATAATATATTATTAAAGAGCTTTATCTGAGCTTAATAACAATATATAGAAGTCTATGAAGAGAAATTATGGATCATAAAAATCATTAGAAATTGATTTAGTTAATGTATGTACAAAATTTAAATAAAATTAGAACTTACAAGCGTGTACTCCTCCGAATATTTTTCCATCCTTTAGATCTCTTGTCAATTGATCGAGTTTGATTTTGAAAACTCTACAAAGTATGTCAGGTCGATCTTCAGGTTTGAGTCCTCGCTGTTGTACATATCTCATAATTTCTGGCCATTTTGGGTTGCAAGTGAAAGTCATGAACAAATCAGGATACCTATACCATCTACAAATAGCCATAGCATCATGATAATTTTGGACCATATATCTACCACTACATGTATAAGATGAATGTATAACTACACGTTTTCCGATCAATGATGCATTAGTGCTTCCTCCTAATACAACATCTCTCAAACTTTTGTAATTATCTGCCCTCAATTTTTTTTGATGGGTTCGGATATAGCACAACCTCTCATATTCTATCATTGTAAGACCATCAACCAAAAATTGTTGAAAGAATTATAGAGACCACAAAAGAGTAGTAGCCTCATCATGTCTCTCATGAATTCTATAAGCAAAAAATTCTCTCATGGACAATTTATTTCTTTTTTGATTACCAGATATATTTCTTAATTGTATACCAAGTCTGTAACCATCCTCCCCATATGGAAATAGTAAGGGATATTGCAAAGCTAGATAAGAAGGGTGCAACTCAATAATACGTTGTAATTGACCGCTTCGTGTCTCTAATATGATATCCCTTTCTTCATTCGATGAACTTCCTAGATCTCCAACAATAAGAGCAGCTACCTCGGAAGCAGTTGGCAAGTTATAAGTCCTTCCATCAGATTCTCTTCTCCCAATGAGTTTAAGCTTAACTCCCTCATGATCACTATTGGATGCAAATCGGTCCCTAGCCACTCTAAATGCCTTTGCTAGAGGATTATGCTCATCAATCATTTTTCGTAGATCCTCAACAATTGCACCATCTAAAGAATTTTTTGCATGTTTTGAACTGCATATAAACCAAAATATATATATATATATTAGAGCTAATCAGATTTCATGTACGATTTGCTTGATTAGCGTTGAAAATATAAAGTAAAAACACAACAACGATTGTAAAAGAGAATAATTAAAACAATAATAATATTCATTATTACTCATATTGCTTAGTTATAAGGTATGAATGTACATAAATTATAACTAAATGACTGCAGGTAGTGACTTTCTAATTACTTTAATGTGTTTTATTTTGTAAATAAAATAAATAATTTGATTATTTACTGCTTAAATACATTGCTAAGCTTTCATCATCATGATTATTTGTGCTTTATCATATTCAAAAATGTCAACTACTGAAATTAGTTTAATATATGTACATTTTATATTGTATTCAAATAGTCAGGCATTGCAATAAATCAACTGTGTAAAGTATAGACCATAAAAATTAATTACCTAGTAAAAAAAATAAAAATAAAAAAAACTCATGAATATCATATACCCATAATAATTTGAAGTAAACATATTAACATACCTAAAAGCATGCATTCTGTTGGAGACTTCGTTTTCAATATCATATATATATAGTTGTGAGAACTTTGGAGATGCACTGACCATGGGTAATAAACTCCCTATTCTGTGGTAATTTTGTCCATGCAACCTAAAGGTAAATGGACCACGCCCTCTATTCACTGATGAATCAATCTTCCCACCCATGGAGGTAAAAGCATACATCATATTATATGGCCTTATATTCTCAAGGAAGTTTTTGCTCTTAGCATCTCCATTTCTATACAACTTTTGAAGCATTTCAGGTGGAGCTTGAAGCTTAGGAAGTTGAACCTTCCCTTTCATGCAACATTGAGAAAATTTGGGGTTTGTAGTTTGTTTTTTTATAGCTCTTTCTTCAAACCACATTATTGCCCCACAATATTCACAAGTATAATTTGGGTCTCCAATGTCCCAATAGCCTTTAAATAGCACGTTATTATCACCACAAAAAATTAAAATTTTTTTATATTACTTTTAACAATTATTATTTAAGTACCTTCAAATGCAGTATCAACAGATATATTGCCACCTAAAATTTCAGAAAATAAACCGAAAAGCATCATATTTGAATATAAATAATACAATAAGAAATTTATAATTATATATTAACTAATAACAATAAGAAAATGAATCATATCACAATATAAATTACAGAGTATTGGTTTGTTCATACCTTCTGTGTCAATATCCGAACCATCATCACTAAGCTCATCATATAAAAGCTCAGATTCTATATTAGGTAGTGATTAAAAATTAATAAATTAAATAAATAAATAAATGATAATACCTTCTGATGCTTGTATAATTTTTCCGTTTTGTATAATGTGTTTTTTCGGCTTTAAGTGAACGATGTGAACTTTCATTTCTACCAAACCATAAGCTAGAATCTACGTTGCTTATTCTGGTGTTATTAGAGGAAGACGCTAGTTCACTCAGAGCACCAAATTGACATTGACCGACAAATGATCGTTCGTAATCATTTGTAACTGTAAAATTGAGATTTTTTAAGTTTATTTACGCAATGTCATAGTGCTTGTACTATAAGCCATTTTAAAGGACAGCTAAATTACAACAAAAATGAAAAATTTGTCACTAATTTGAAGTCATAGAAGCAAAAACTTACAATTTGATATGTCACTGAGTGGTCTTCTTAATTGATTATCTGACCTTTGTGAATGATATGATAGTCGTTGTCGCTTTTCCTTCAAAATTCGATATCTATTTAACCTTGCATTTTTTTTATCGCATTGATCCGTATCTTTGATATGAGTTAAAATGATATCATCTAACTATACATATATATATAAAAAAAAAATTGAGAAATATTTATGTAACTAATGTATATTTAGATTATCAATCACACAACCTTTTTGTGTGATTTTATTAATAAAATTAATATTTCATAGTAAGTGAATATATTTTTATTTTGATGGCAGTAAGTGAATACAAATAAAACTATATCTAGATAGTATTGTGGAGTTGCTTAGAAAAAAAGACAGTATTGTGGAGTATAAAAACTATATTAGAATATTTAAGATTTTATATTGCTTTTTAACATTATTTCTATTTTAATAATGATATGGTTGATACTTGATACATTTACTATAAATTTATTTTTTTTATATTAGTTAAATAATAATAATGAATCACTCAATTGTTTTAATCAAGATTATGGGTCACTTCTTTCCAAAACCAAAAAAAAAAAAAAAGATTATGGGTCACTTTAAAAAAAATAAGTACTACGGGAGATTTATGGGCATATGTTAGATAATCATTCTTTGAATTTATGGGTACATTTTAGATCATCGTGTCTTTGATTCATCTTTAGTAATTGAAAACCTTAATAATTGAAAAGGTTTGGCATAATTTTGTTGGTGATGTGGCTAGTGCTTAGAATTGTATTACAGAGTACCTTAATTCTTTATTATTCAACTTTCACGGTTTGTTATGGCTTATTATGTACAAATCAACAATTACAAATGTGTGATATTTGTTATAAGTGGTGTTTCAATGTGTAGTATTTAGATATCATGTTTTCATAATTAATTTTTATACGTAATTAAAGTGGTACTTAGTTATATATGTAAGTTAATTATTATTATTATTATTATTATTATTATTATTATTATTATTATTATTATTATATAAAATATAAGTGAGTAGGACAAATAGAAATAGACAGAGCGAGAAATTCTAGTGCATCAAAGAGGTTACTCTATAAACCTAAAGATGCATTCTCTTATTAATATCTTTAACATAAATATAGATAAATATATTATTCTCCTAATAGGATCAATACAAAAAATATATCACACATATATTTTCCAGTATTGATGATATCATATATCTTAACAATATCATAATTATTGAAGGTGTCTAGCAAAATAGCTCACATTATATTATTCTAAAAATAAAATTAGAAAAGAACATATTATTAATCTCAAAGTAATTACTTGAGCATACAACAAAGACTCAAGTATCATCTTCATCCTTTTCGTGCTCAACCTTAATCTTTCGCTGATATTTGGTTGTAGAAAACTCAGTTGATGTAAATTGGTCATCCGCATTCATGTCATTAACATCTTTAAAACACCTTTTTTGATTCGGCGTGGCACCACTATTATTTGAACAATTGTCATCCGAGTGCTCGTTGCATATGGTGCTAGAAATCTGTAATTTTAATTTATGTATTAGTGATATTAAAAAAATTGCTAAAAATTTAAAATTATATTTATATTTAAGATGACCATAAGTACTTAAAAAAAACCTAATAATATTGATACCTGGCCAACCTTATTGCAGTCATTGCCAATTTGTGCAAATTTTGAAGTGACATCAATATCCTCATGCTCGTTAAACTTCAAACATAGAAAAAAAAATGTGCATCATGAACTACCAAGAAATCTTAATCATAAAGCTAAATAATGTGAAAATAATAATAATAAAACAAATATTAATTATTAATCATCATAAACCTTAAGCCGAAATGAAATAACAACCTTATAAGCATTGTCCGACTCCTCAAATGATTTTATTAAGTTTTTATCTTCAGACATCTTCATAATTGTAAATAAGGGACAATCTTGTCGAATATTATATTCAGAAACTTTTATCTTAAACAAACATTTCCTTTATAAGAGTTCATTCAAATCTTTAGGAATCAAATCCATATTATATCCATCCTGCATCATCCCAAATTCATGATATCAGAATTGGCATTATTAATCACAAATTTAATTCAATTTACTAAAAAATTAAAATATTTACCATACCTTTGTTTGTTTTTCTCGTAGATATAAAGCAGATTTACCTAGAAGATGCACCAATTCACGATCAAAAACAACAAATGAAGCACTTCCAGAATCATCAACTACCCTAATCTGGACTTTGAATCTTGGAACAGGTTCAACATAAGTATTGCACTTTTCACACAAAAACTTTGTTAGCCCTTCAACATTTATCTCTTTAACCTTCTTAAAATCTTTCTTACAGGCACGGTGGAACCATCCATTTTCATTTTCAATGGAGTCAATTGTAGCTAATGTGACACAAACACACACCTACAAATATAAATAAATAAATAAATAAATAAATAAATAAATAATATTTATAATAATAAAATTTAGTCATATAAATTTGATAACTGTAATTTTAAACAATAATATGATTTCTGCATCATGATTGTAAAATAAAATAGTAGTAGTAAGCACTTGCCTCTTGTGTGTAACGGATCTCATCAACTGTTTTTCTTTCAGATTTGTTTAAAAAGTCACTCTCATTTTTTTGTGAGATATAACTACTTATGTCAATCACCAATTCCGAAGAAGTCTTTCCACCCTTATCAAATCTGCAAAATTAATGTAACAATCAATATATATATTGTTGTATAAGTAATCAATATATATATTTTGGGGGATATTACTCGTTCAAGAATAGTATGCATATCTAAAAAAAAAAAGCATGTACCTATTCTTAAACTCATTCAGCTCATGAATATCAGAATTTAAATAGAGTTTAGTCGCAAATAGGGAAGTTGATAGCATGGTAGTACCTGTTATTAAATTAAATTTAATAAAAATGAATATAATAGATAGTACTAATAATATTGATGTCAAAACCAAAACCCGCAACTTTACATACCTTGCCAAGTCTTGATTTTTACAAACCGTAATAAGATGATAACTTGACGGCCTGGATGCTTAGATAAATAATCTTGTAATTGATCAGCATATCGATTCCATAAAGTGCATCTTAAAATATTATTTCTGAATTTAATAAACAGATTTATCATTAATTCAATATTTCTATTCTTTATTAATTTTTAAATATTTTAATGGTTAAATGTACTTACTACAGGTCTTTTAATTGGATAGTGGTCACCTTCGTTCTTTTGCCATCCTTTGAATAATCATAAGTACTTAAAATTCCAGAAATATAGCCAATGACATCTATTATACGAAGAACATATTTTAAAAATTTTGTTAGAACATATTCCAACAAAAAAAACAAAAAGAAAAAAAAATAATGATCACACTATACATTAAAATTCTTTTTAAAGAAATTATATCATACCCACTAAACAGTTGCTATCCAAATTATTTGAAAGAATTGCATCAAAGGGCACCAATTCGAAACCATATGCATTTATGTTCGCTCCAGCAAAGGCAATAACGCTAGTAGAACGTTGAAAATTTATCTTGTATGCATGATTAGTAGGCTTGTATTCCCCACTACTTTTACCAACAAAAAAATTTGATATCTTATATATCTCGCCTTTGTTTAGTTGAAGTTGGAATGTTGACAATAAATGCTTTTTAATTATAGCATGTATTTTGTCACCCTAGCACATAAAAAGAATAAAAGTTATAAATTAATGTAATAACAAGATATAGTACATGCAGAAATAAAGTTGGTCGATTGTATGTTAATTTATTTTTAATAATTAAAACAATAATACCTTTTCATCCAATAGCACCATCTCAATAGAATAGATATCAGCAGGATTGGAGACCATAAACGGATGACTCTAACTCGCAACGTTACATTCTCAGTAGTAGGACTTATGTCCTTGATGAATACTAAATTTTCAGCCATGAATGAATGAAAATTATGGTTAAACAGTATAATAATAATGGTTGAACAGTATAATAATGATTTAAAACCCAAATAAATTGTGATCAATGATTATGTATGGTTTATATATATGGAATAGATCTTATATAAATATGTAAAATTAAATTTTTTTTACTCTTATCCATTGTCAATTATGCATAAAATTGATATTTAGTGGAAAATTACAACTATATTTAGATAGTATTGTGGAGTATAAAAATAATATTGGAAGTTTGAAAAGATTTTATACTACCTTTTCACATTATTTCTGTTTTGTGAATGATATGGTTGATATAATTACTATGTATATATTTATTATGTAAAGAATAATAATCAATACTAAGAAAAAAAATATAATAAACCGATTCAAGAAAGATAAAGAATAATAATCAATCCTAAGAAGAAATTTTTTTTTACTCCTATCCATTGTCAATCATGCATAAAATTGATATTTAATGGAAAATTACAACTATATTTAGATAGTAATGTGGAGTATAAAAATAATATTGGAAGTTTGAAAAGATTTTATACTACCTTTTCACATTATTTCTGTTTTGTGAACGATATGGTTGATATATTTACTATGTATATATTTACTATGTAAAGAATAACAATCAATACTCAGAAAAAAAAATTATAATAAACCGATTCAAGAAAGGTAAAGAATAATAATCAATCCTAAGAAAAAAAAAAGTTAATTTTTTTTTTATGCAATTTCAATTTCAATCAATTGGCGAACTACCTAAATTGAAACATTGTAAATTAAACCTAAATTTCATAAAATTCTCAGCTAAAACATTTAAACAAAAATGAAAATCAAATATAGCAACAATCCAAAAAATTAAAGTTGATAAATTGATTCAAGAGCAATAAAAATGAAAAATAAAAAACACTAACCTGTAATTGAATCGGAATTAAGGGTTATGAATTGGGGATGATGCTTTGTAATTGTACCTAAATATCTCCGAAGTGTTAAAAATTGCTTATTTCAAAGTTTGAAGAGGTGAAAAGAACATCAGTGAAGAAAAAGAAAAGAGAAAGAGTAAGTTCTGGATGTTTAATCTTTGGGATTCTAGAATCATGGTGAAGTGCTCTATATTGAAGTACTGAACTATTCCTTTTCGTGTGTTTAAACAATAAATAATATATAATAATAATAATATATAAGAATATAATAAGGAAATATTTATATATAATATATAATAATAATTAAAAATATAATATAATAATTTAGGAATTAATGAAATTGGCGGGAAAAGAAGAAATGACATTGTGCCAAATGTCATGGAAGGATTCGCTTTTAGTATAGGTGTAGGGAATAATTTCAAGTGTTAACCCCTAACTTGAACCCCACTTTGATCATACACTAAAGTACGGTGGCGTCCAAAAGGGAAAGAAAATAGAGCAAAAGAGTCGCCAACAAGTTTTTTTAGGAACTTGCAAACCGTTCACAGAGTGAAGGTTACACCCCATAACGATCCAAGAGATCGTCAACTTCATAAGGTCTTGAACCAAATAAGGGTTCGGGGATGAAGGTACAAATCCAACCTAAAAGAGATTGAACCTGCCCTAATAATAGGCCTCTACTTTATTCTGATCGTATTCATGTGCGCTTTCTGATTAACATGCAATCAATAGGATTACCCTAAACCTGTTTAATCTATCTATGTTGGTTGAATTTAATGCACAAATAAATATATTATTTGCGATCACTTGAATTATAATCAAATTAACCCTAACAAGATTATTAGTTATCTTATTAAGCATGATTACAAGTACCAATTCCCTTTAAACATGCATAAAAGGCGTGATCAAGCAATAACAATAAATATCAAGCAACATAATCATAATCATCATAAAATTATAAAAATAATCATAATAATAATTATCAATCATGTTAAAGCATAATATTAGCAAGATCCTAGGCATGATACCAACAAGATTAATAACAAACCCTAGCATGTCACTAAACAATAAAAATCATATGTTTAACCCTATCATGATACTAACAATCATAAATATTAGGAAGAAAATAGGAAGCATCATACTAATCATACTTGATATTAAAATTACCCTAGACATGATACTAGGAATTAAAATAACAACCTAAGCATGAACTCTATATCATAACATCAATAAAAACCATTAAAGTACTTACTTTGATGCCTCGTACCTCTTTCTAATAACAAAATACACACGTTAGTAACTTCAAGGAAAATAATAAACAAAAACAATTAAATCAAATAATTGAAATAGAGATTTGGGACCAAACCCTCAGAAATTAAACCTTTCACGTCTAGGGCGAAGGCAATTTCGAATATGGCTAGGTGTATCTAGATCTAATGAATGCGGAATTTTGTATGTAAAATGCTAATTTAGAAAAGAAAGAGAGAGAGAAAGAGTAATCAAGTAAAACTTGATGAGAATTAGAAAGAATAAGAATTAATGAAAACTGGTTTTAGATGAATGTAGATTAATACTGGTTTTAAAATAAGAATTCATGAGAATTCATGAAAACTGGTTATCGAAAATGGAGTTTTTAATTTGTTATTTATAGAGAAAATAAGCCAAAAAGCTAAAATATCAAAACAGAGTCTGGGGCACAAAAAATTGAACCAGAGCCAACGTTGGCTGTTGGCGCCAGGCGCCAACATCAGCGCCAGGCGCCAAGCGTAGCGCCAGGCGCTACAGCTGGCGTTTGGCGTTGATCTGGAAAATTACACGTTTTCTTAAAATCAGATAAAAATTGTCGTAGAGGAGGATAAAATCGTATTTCCCTAAAAAATGCTCTTTGATCTTAATTAAAACTCTGAAAAGCCAACAAAAGTCAATTTATCAATGCTAATTGAATTAGGAATGAAAAGAACCTTCTAGAAGAATCTAGAAGACTAAAACCATTTCTAATTGCATTAGGAATGATAAATCCATATTAGGCCCTCCTCTAGATCATTGGGCCGCATATAAGGCTCAAACCGGGCCCAGTTCAGTAATTTGGCCATAACTTCCTCAATATTTCTCGGAATTGGGCTTATAATATATCGTCGGAAAGGTATTTTCAAGGCCCCATCCAACTACACTATTATTGGACCCATATCATGGACCAACCAAACTAGATTGACTGTTTTCTTAATATAAGTTTTCAAAAACAGAGAGAAGAGAAGAAATTAAAACTATCCGCAACACTAAACTTTCCACACTTTCGCTTCATTCGATTATGATTCGACGTGAAAGGTACTCATCACCGGGTTTGGTTTTGGGGAGACACAAATGGGTGTCTACAGAAGCCCCCACTTTGACTAATTTTGGAGAAACGCAAGTTTCGAAAACAAAAGTAAAAGTATCGATAGGGACGGAGAATTATTCAGAACGCTCTGCGATCCTAAACCACTCTTGTAACGCCGATACCTGCAAACTAGCGTTAGTTAAACAGATAAAAGAGTTAAGAAATGCGTATCTTGCACCGTCGAGCACACGTCTCTGAAAGTAACCGATTTGCTCTCGCTTTGCCGTTGTTTTTGATGACCTCCTGCCAAGAGAATGCCATCCTGCTTGAAAACCGCTATGCTTGTAACTGATTTCTATATAGAAGATTGCTTCGCCTGAAACGATCCTCTTCCGCTATGATAATATTCCACGTCCAAGGGAATACTATCAAAGATTGCTTCACTTGAAACAATCCCCATCCGCATTGATAATATTCCACGTCCAAGGGAATACTATCGAAGATTGCTCCGCTCGAACAATCCTCATCTGCATTGATAATATTCCACGTCCAAGGGAATACTATCGAAGATAATTTCTCTTGAAATCACCTTCAGTTGCTTTTTGACAACTTCCCACAATCTATGGAACGCCATCTTGCTGTTTGTTTTGACGATCTTCCGCAATCTAGGGAACGCCGTCGATCAATGTTACTACATCTTGAGCCTTTTCTTGAATCATAGTGACAACCTTTCCAATCATAGCAAAAGTCGTCGAAGACCGCCTCATCATGAACCGCTCTTCTCATATCTTGGTGACAACCTCCACAATCTTAGCGAACGCCGTCGAAGACCGCCCATCTCGTGCTACCTTCTCAAATCTCGGGTGACAACCTCCACAATATTAGCGAATGCCGTCGAAGACTGCCCATCTCGTGCTATCTTCTCAAATCTTTTCTCAAATCTTAGTGACAACCTCCACAATCTTAGCGAATGCCGTCGAAGACCGCCCATCTCGTGCTATCTTCTCAAATCTTTGGTGAAAACTTCCACAATCTTAGCGAACGTCGTCGAAGACCGCCCATCTCGTGCTATCTTCTCAAATCTTTGGTGACAACTTCCACGATCTTAGCGAACGTTGTCGAAAATAACTTTACTTGAAGTCATCCTCAGTTGTTGCGATAATATTCCGAAGAAAAATTTCCGAAGACCAACGCTTGTCGATCTCTAAAGCTCGCTTAAACTTGCTTTAGCCAATGCGTCGGCGCTTCTGCTGCTTGTAAACCAGTATGTCGGTGATAAGACAACGCTTAGACGCTTTAAGCTAAGTGAGACAATCTTTCGTTAGGTCGATCACTTATTTGCGGTTGTAATCAAATCGACTACTCAATCATGTCAAATTGGCTTATAGGGGCTAGCTGGCGTACCAAGGAACCCGAAATTCCTGTTCTGAGAGGCTTCGAGCTCTGTCGCTGCTGAAATATCTCTGGCGCCAGGAATTGGCTCTGTCGCCAGACGCTGGGA